ATCCAGGCAGGTCTTGAACATCTCCAGAGCAGGAGACTCCACCACCTCCCTGGGCAGCCTGTTCCAGTGAACAGTGGGACCCATAGAGACACATTGGGACCAATAGAGACACACTGAGACCCATTGGGACCCATAGACTCCCCCACCTCCCTGGGCAGCCTGTTCCAGTGCTCCGTCACCTCACTGTACAGAAGTTCCTTCGCACATTGGTGCAGAACTTCCTATGCTGCAGTTTCCGGCCGTTTCCCCTCCTCCTGTCTCCACTCCCCACTGAACAGAGTCCATCCTCGCCATTCTGCCCCCCACACCTCAGATATTTACAGACCTGGATCAGGTCCCCTTTCAGTCTTCTTTTCTCTAGTCTGAACAGCCCCAGTTCACTCAGCCTTTCTCCATAGCAGAGATGCTCCAGGCCCCTCACCATCTTTTGGCCCTCCGCTGGACTCTTCCCAAGAGCTCCCTGTCTGTTTTATGCTGGGGAGCCCAGAACTGGACGCCGTGCTGCAGCTGAGGCCTCAGCAGGGCAGAGCAGAGGGGGAGGATCGCCTCCCTCCACCTGCTGGCCACGCTCTGTGCAATGCAGCCCAGGATGCCGTTGGCCTTTTGGCCACGAGGGCACTGCTGGCTCATGGCCGACCTGTTGTCCACCAGGACACCCAGGTCCCTCTGCGCACAGCTCCTCTCCAGCAGCTCATCCCCCAACCTGTACCACTGCATGTAATTCTTCCTCCCCAGATGCAAGACTCCACATTTGCTTTTGTTAAACCTCATCCGTTTTTCCTTTGCCCAGCTCTCAGCCTGTCCAGGTCTTGCTGAATGGCAACACAGCCTTCAGGGTGTCAGCCAATCCTCCCAAGTTCGTATCATCATCAAACTTGCTGAGGGTGGCCACCATCCTCTCATCAAGGTCATTGATGAAGATGTTGAACAAGACCGAACCCAACACCGACCCCTGAGTTACAGGCCTCCAACTGGACTCTGCACCACCAACAACGACCATCAGGAAGGCTCCATCACCCCAAGCAGAGGCTGTGAGGAAGGGATACCAAGAGATGGTTTCCTCCCAGCAAAAAGGCATAGCTCGTGTTAATTCATGGGGAGCGCTTCGTTCTGCACCAATTAGGAAGCAAAATGCTGATTAAATTACAAATCATGCGGGCTAAACCCGAAGGGTTATTTAATGCTGGGTGTCGCAATGAGGCACTCACAAAAACTGCGCTGGGATAATAATGGTAATCATAATGGAAGCCATATCCCTCAAAGTAACAATGGTGTAAATTAGGAAAGGCCGCGCTGGTTAAAAAGGAGCAAAATATGGTTTGAGGACAAGAGATACATAAAGCACCAATGCTGGGGGATGAGGCAGTGTGCTCAGAGAGCTGTAATTTAGAGCCGTTTTCCTCACAATCATATTTTCAACACCGATTTATTATCCTGTTAAGCCCAAGAGGTGATAAATACTAAAATCTCTTTGACAGCCACATGCCGGCAGGCATTCCCATCCCTGATACAAAGAGCTGAGCTGCTTCTCGTTCAGAATCTCCCATGCAAACACACCAGAAGACCCCGAAACGATCCCTGAATGGAGAAGGCAGTGAGGAATGGTTGTAGATTTGGATAAGAGAGCTGGAATTGCTGCCCTGTGCGTCACCCTCAGCACTGTGCCATCTCTAGGACTGAGATTTGGTATCTCTGGAAATCTGTGCTTGTAGGGTGAGCAAGAGCTGGGACGAATCTGGAGCATGCATGTGAGTGGAGCAGGGCAGAGGTTTGCACCCTGCAAGCAGCAGCAGTCGGTTTTTCATCCAAGGGAAATAAAAGTTGCCAAGCACAGCCTTTGGGACACGATCATCACCACGTCTCTGCTCTGCGTGCTCAGCCTGGAGGATGATGCAGAGGGATGGAGGATGCAGAGGTGTGGAGGATGCAGAGGTGTGGAGGATGCAGAGGTGTGGAGGATGCAGAGGTGTGGAGGATGCAGAGGAATGCAGGATGCAGAGGAATGCAGGATGCAGAGGAGTGGAGGATGCAGAGGTGTGGAGGATGCAGAGGGATGCAGGATGCAGAGGTGTGGAGGATGCATGTGGTGCAGTTGGGCTCTGCAAATCGAACCTGGAGATGAAGGGATGCAAGATGCATTCAGCGCAGTTGGGTTTTGCAAATGGACCCAAGGGATGCAGGATGCACGTGGTGCAAAGGATGCAGGATGCAGAGGGATGCAGGATGCACGCAATGCGGTCAGGCTTCGCAAATCAAACCCAGATCTGTTTGGGTTGGTTCTTTTTCCATTCAGGGGACACCTGAGCCAATGATCCAGCTTTGCTGCAGCCAGGATGCAACCCTTAGGACCCACAGCTTGGTGCTCTGTGGGAAAGGGCAGCCCTGGAGCTATAAGGAGCAGCAGCCTGATGTGCCACCAGCACTGCTTTTCCCACAGAGCACCAAGTCCAGCTCACTGCATTCCTCAAATGCTATTTTATCCCCAGCATGATTTATGAAAGAGCCTGTGGACGGAGGGGCTCAGTGGTGGCCTTGTTTATATGGCAAGAGCGAGATGTTTGTGCCCTGAACTGCCCATAGAAACAGGTTTTGTCGTTGGTTTTGTTGCATGCATGCTTTGCTTTCTTTTGCCACTAAACCATCCATGAAACACAGGGCAAAAAAAACAACCAAACGAACAAAAAAAGACCCTTTGGGAGTCTGGTTGCCCCCATCCCACGGTGCTGCTGTGCTGAGATCCAAGCGGGACCCAACCCATGGGCACCTCTCTGCAAACCACCCCGCTCCCAGCAAAGGCACATTGCCAGGGGGCCAGGCCTGCCTGCTGCAGGAGATTAATTATTATTCAAGCGCTGATAAAGGGAGCAAGTTAAAATGCAGCGATAAAGGCTCAGATAAAGCAGAGCTGCTCTGTTTGCATTTTATGGCAGGCAGGAGCTGCTCTGGTGGCTGCTGCAGCCTTTGGGGATGTGTGACTCTATGCTGGCAGCAGCGGGGTTGCAAGGTTCTGGTATTCCTGTGCTTGGTTTGCAGCTGGATAAGCAAATGCTGGATGCAAGCAGGGCTGCTGGGTGCACAGTGCTGGGGTTCTGTGCTTTGGGCAGTGCTGGTCACCGTTGCTCTGTAGAGGCCATCAGATTGGTGACACCCCCAGAGCCCTGCTGGTTCCATGTCATCTTGTCCTGCAAGGACGCAGCAGGGGCAGCATTGCTGCAGGATGCTCTCATTCCCCAGCCTGGAGCATCTCTTAGTGGTCCAGCGATGGTGGGACAATGGGGTGCAGAGTGTTGGGAGCCACCCTGCCCACGGTTTGTCCTCCTTCCTGCAGGTGCTGCGTCCACAAGGGAGCAAACAGTGCCACCAACCAGCACAGCTGGGACAGCCACAGCCTTCAAGAGGTTCCCAGGAATGAGGGATGGGAGGAAGGGAGGAGAGCAGCAGGGAATGCTCCTTGGTGCTGCTGGTGGGGCTGTGGGGAGGTGGGATGAGCTGCAGGAAGAGGGAGAGGTTACTGGAGGGGTGAGGCTTCTCCCAAAGGCTCCAGGCCTTCCTCACACCTCTTCCTCCTTCCCCACCCAGACTTAATTCTCTCTAATCTGCACGGGGACATGACTGCACGGCACAGGGACCTCTGGTGCACATCAGCAGGGACCCAGGGGCCGGTCAGAGGTGAGCAGATCCTCCTTGTGCAGAGCATAAAGCAGTTCAGAGGCTTCCATCGGGCTGAGGAACTTTCCAAAGGTTCCTCCCTGCAGCAACCGAGCCAGCATCCTCCCTGCATGCAGCACTGGGGCCGATTCCTGGCTGTGAGCAGCAGCATTTCCACTCCAGCATCAGCTCCTTGAGAGCAGGAGCAGCTAAGAATTGCTCCCAGCTGCCAGTGGTCAAAAAGCAACCGAGCAAAAAGGGAGGTTTGTGGCCAGAGAGTGCAATGTGCGGACGGGGGGATGCACACGTGGATGGGGGGGGGGGGCCGCGCCGAGCACATGGATGTGGAAATGCACACGTGGATGGGGAGATGCATACGTGGAGGCAGAGATGCACACATGGATGGGGAGATGCATAGATGTGGATGAGGAGATGCCCACAAAGCACCAGGGCTGCTGCAGTCTGTGCCCACGGTGTGGGGCAGGAAACGTGGCACTGGTGTTTGCTTAGGAAAAGGCATGGTTCCTGCTGCCAGAGGAAGGAAGCACTCGGGGTTGGGAGGCCTCTTTGGGGGCCAGGAGGAGCTGCACCTCCAGGCACAGCCCGAGTTCAGGCCGACATGTGGGGCATGAAGGCAGAGCTGCAGACGATCCAGCACTCGGATGAAGAGGATGGTGGGAGGAAGGATTGCAGTTCCCCATCCTACACGACAGCTCCAGGGTGGTGACAGTGGTGAGGAGCCCAATACTGACCCCAAAGTCCCTGAGGTGATGCAGACTGCTCGCCTTTAGCTGACGTTCCTCCCTGCTGGTTGGGCTGGGGGGCCGTTTAAATATAGATTTTAATAGAGAAAAATAAAAGGTTAATTTCAAAAGTGACAGCTCACTTTGGCAGCAAACCTTTGCTTTCTGGCCCAAAGCCCCAGTGTCTGCGCTCCCAGGACCCCTGGGCCGTGTTCCAGGTCCCCTCCTCTGCCCTAAACCTTTGGATACCGGGGGGCTTCGAGTGTGTCACGGTGGGAAAAGGGACAGAACGTCCCAGGAAGGACGGGGACGCGTGGGGACACCGCGGTGCTGAGGGATGGGGCTGAGCTCGGGGCCGGGGGGGCCCACGGAGATGGGAGCTTTGGGGACGGGCTGTCCATAAAAAGGTCCCCGGGGTGCGCAGCGCTCGCGGTCCGGTTGGGAACGGGGGATCGAGGCATTCGGGGCGGGGCGGGGTGCGAGGACGGCCCCGTTCCCTCCTCCCATCCGTTCTCTCTCCGGGGCGGAGCGCGGCGGCGGCGGCGGCGGCGGCGGTGGTACCGGCGCCGACCCCGAGCCCAGCCCGGCCCGGCCCCGCGGAGCCGCCGCATGAAGGTGCGCGGGGCCGGGACCGCCATCGCCACCGGAACCGGGACCGGGATCGGCAGCGGGGGGGAGGCGGAGCGGCGGGGAGCGGCTCCGGTGGGGACCCGTTGCCGACGGACCGGGCTGGAGCGTTGTCTCGGGGCTGTCCCCCCCGCCACGCCGCCGCCGGTGTCACCCGGTGGTTCCGGTGGGGACAATAAGCGGTTGTCGGTGCTGCTGAAGAAGATGCACTTGTTCCGGAGCTCCAGCTACGAGATCAGGCTGGAGGGAGAGGGGGGGAGCCTGCCCCGCATCCAAGGCATCCGCTGGGTGAGTGCGGGGACAGCGGGGGCTGTGGGATACGGGGACACGAGGGAGGTGGGATACGGGGATGTGGGGCAGTGGGGACAGTGGGTGTGGGGACATGGGGAGAGCAGGGACCGCGGGTACTGACCCCACATGCAGGGTGTTGCATGCTGCTTGCCCCCACCTCTGCGCCCTTCACCAGAACGAACATCCCCAACCCCCTCCAGCCCTCTGCCCCCGTCCCATTTCATGTCCCTTTGCCAAGAGCTGTTGGCACCTGCTGGACAAATGTCCCCAGTGCCAGCCCCACGCTGTCCCCTCTTGCTGGGGGTGGCCCTTTCCCACAGTGGGACAAACCTGAAGGAAAAAGAGGGAAAGCACTTTATAGGAGCATCCCGCCCCGCACCCAGGGGCTGGGGGAGTTGGAGCCGAGCGGGACCCCCATGCTGAGCTCAACCCTCCGCCCTTCCCCGCCTTCCAGGTGCCCTGAGGTCCGTGCTGTGCTTCCCTGTTCCCATTCCTTGGCCGTGAGCTCAGCTGTGCAGCCTTCAGCCCCAACCCAGGGGCAGATTTGGCAGCAAAGCACAGAACAAACCAGGTGCCACCGTGCTCCAGAGCGCAGCGCCCGGGCAGAGCACCCCAACCCACTGCCAGCAGGAAACACCTTCCCCGCACCCAACCCTGGCTTCCATACATTCTCTCCCCAGCAGCTCAGGCCGTTGCTTACAAGAGAAACCGGTCGCTTGGCAGCGGTTCGGTGCACAACGCCGCAACCCCAACCTTCTGCTGTTTCCCTATGGGGCAAAACGTCCCTTTGCAGCCCCCTCAGTGCTGGAGGGGTGGAGGGGCTGCAGCCATTCACCTTCACACAGCCTGGCTGAGGACAAACCTTAGGGAACAAAAGGAAATCGCTTTATTCCGTCTGTTTGCATTCCTGTACAACCTCCTTCCCGAAGCAAAAAGCTCCCCATGCTGCAATGGAACTTTCTGTGCCGTCCCCCCCCCCACTTTTTCTTTTCTTCCCTATCCTTCTGGATGCTTTTCTCCCCACAACTTTAAGGGTTTGGGGACTCCATGTTGGGTGTTTGCTCTCTGAGAAGCACGGGGCAGCAGCGCATTGCAGCACTTCTGCTTTAAAGCGCTGGGCTGGCAGAAATTGGGCAAAATAGGGCAAAATGTGAAGCGTGGTGGCACGCACAGCGTGGCAGAATTGTGCCCCCCCCTTCCCCTCTCTGTGCAGCCTCCCGGTGCTCAGGGACACCCCCTGGGCATTTGTGGGGAAGGGGACAGAAGGGACGTTTTCTCCTGCAGGTAGGAGGGTGCTGGGGCAGGGAGCAGGAATGAGGGTTGGGTTGGCTGCGCCTTGGGGATGCCACATCCCTCCTCTCCATTGCTGCAGCTCCTGGCTCTGTGTCACTCCCCCCACACCTCTCCAGGAGTCTCCCTGGCACCGAATGTCTCCCAGTTCAGTGGGGTGACACCAATCACCGTCCCCAATGGTTGCACTCACCCCACGTGTGCCACGGTCACCCCATGTGTGCCACGATCATCCCACTTGTGCCATGGTCATTGTCACCCCACATGTGCCACAGTCATTATCACCCCATATGTGCCATGGTCATGCCACGTGTGCCACGGTCATTGTCACCCCATGTATGCCAGTGTCACCCCCTGTGTGCCATGGTCATCGTCACCCCATGTGTGCCACGATCACCCCATATGTGCCATGGTCATTGTCACCCCATGTGTTCCACTGTCACCCCATGTGTGCCATGGTCATTGTCACCCCACGTGTGCCATCATCATCCCATGACTGCCATGGTCATTGTCACCCAACGTGTGCCATGGTCATTGTCACCCCATGTTTGCCACTGTCACCCCATATGTGCCATGGTCATTGTCACCCCATGTGTGCCACTGTCACCCCATAAGTGCCATGGTCATTGTCACCCCACGTGTGCCATGGTCACCCCATATGTGCAACGGTCATTGTCACCCCATGTGTGCCACCATCATCCCATGAGAGCCACAGTCATTGTCACCCTACATTTGCCACTGTCACCCCATAAGTGCCATGGTTATTGCCACCACATGTGCGCCATGGTCACCCCATGTGTGCCATCATTGCATTGGGGGGGTGGACCCCTCCCAGCGGGGGTCGTGGGGACAACTGAGCCCCTGGCGTGGCGCCTCTCCTTCAGAGCCTGCGGATGGGCGAGGACTTTCTCTGGAGCCGTAAAACCCAAAATAGCTCCTTGTTGTTTTTCCCCGGGATCCCAAACAAAGCAGAACGCTCACTGCCGGCCTTGGCCGCTCGCCCACGGCTGCCGGATTTCTGGAGCCCACCAGGATCCCTCCTGTCCCGTAAGCAGGAAGATGGAAACAGGCAACTCCTTCGGAAGCTCTTTGGAGACGGCGGCTGCGGGGCTGCAGCCATCGGGGGGCTGGGAAGGAGGGAGGAGGGGGGGGGACATCCTGAAGGGCCGGTCCTGGGAACCATGGGGTGCCATGGCGCAGGAAGGGGAGCTGGTGGGGAGAAACCTCAGTGAGCAGCTGTCCTTGGGCAGGGAAGAGTTTCTCAGTCTCCTTGGCCGTCCTTGCTTGGAGCAGCACCGTGGCACGTCTTGGCTCTCTGCCCCAAGGACGGAACGGGGTTACAGGGGTGACGGCGGAGGCGGCTCTGCTTGGGGACGGGCGCAGTGGGTGGCATCGCCCTGCGGGTCTCGCAGCTCCGGCTGCAGCCCGGCTCCGGGTTTGCAAACATTTGCTCGACAACCGTCGGTGCGTTTCCTGCTCGGCGGGGAGTCACGAGGCACGGGGAAAGTTTGCTGAGTGAGTAAGAGGAGGCGTCCCCGCATTGGTGACAGCGGGAGGCTGCGGATGCGGCCGGAGAGCGCTGCGCTCCTGAGCTCCTTTGCTTCTGCCTCTTCCTGAGCCTCTTGCAAAGGGCTGCCGTGAGCCCGGGGAGGAGGAAGAGGAGGAGGAGGAAGAGAAAGAGGAAGGTTGTGGGGTGCGGAAAGGGCTGGAGGCGATGGAGCAGCCTGAGCCATGCAGAGCAGCCAGAGGTGGGTGCCCACCTCCAGCACCTGCCTGCACCCAGCGGTGCCGGGCGGTTCGGGGTCCCTTCAGCTCCCTGCAAAGCAGTTTTATTTTGCATTCAATTCATTTGTAGAGGAGGATTCTGCAGCCCCTCCGCCTTGGATTCCTGCATTGAGGCTTTCAGCTGCTCTGTGCCTCTCAATGGAGTTGCTCAAAGCTTCCTTACCCATTCAATTACACGGAAGATCTGACCCAGAAGACTCTGAATTCCCAAAATCGCATTATGAGCGCTGCCCAAAACGGCCTTTTGAGCACCTCCACCAGCCCTGAGTGCTGCAGGATCTTCCCAGGGAGGTTTTCAAATCCTCCACAAACAGCCTGAGGGCACAAAGCCTTGCTCTGGAGATGCTCCCAGAAGGATGCTCCATGCCGTGCCATAGGGCTCAAGCTCCAGCTGCCTTCAGTGCGCGATGAAGGGCTGTTGGGAGCTGGTGGCACAGCCAAAAAGGGGGGAAAACAGCAGAAAAAGCAGAATTAGGAGGAAAAAAAAGCATTGCTGATGGCAGTGGCCAAAAGGAAGGGCAGCGGTGAAGGACGCAGATGGAGAGGGCTGAGCATCACAACCATTTGGGTGGAATATCCCTTGCGGTTGAACGCGAGCTGCTCCAGTTTGCAGTGTGCAGAGCAGCATCCCTGGGCCCTTCTGCTGGAATCCGACGTCTTTTCCATCCTCCTCTCCTGGATGAGGCTTCAAAGCTGGAGGAGAAGCTCGGGGCTTTCCCTCACCCTTCCCTTCCTGCAGGTCGCTCTGATGTCCTCTGCCAGCAGCGAGCGCTCGCTCTGTGTCTCACATCGGTGCCTTTGATCCCTTCGCGCAAAGGCTTTGCTTTTAACTTCCTCCTTTCATCCTTTCATCTCCCAGCTCTTTCCCTTCGGTGCGTTCCCCATCCCGGAGTGAAACGTGGCTGCAGGGCAGGTTGCAGGGTTTGGGTCCCCTGCTGTGCACGTGGGGGGGTTGCTGCAGCGCAGAGATGTGGGGTGCGTTGAGCCACGTCCGTTCGTGGCCCCATTCAGGCATCCCAGCTCCTCCTTGCTGGTTTCCAGCAGTGCCTGAATTGTTCTCCCTGATGGATGCTGGGCATTCCGTGTTGGTGTGGTTGAAATGGGCCAAAATAAAGCTGGAAGTGGGTGCTTGGTGGATGCAGGTGTTGCAGGGGGGTCCGTTCAGGAGGACGGTGCTGGTGGGGGCTCAGGGATGTGTGTGCACCCCGTCCTGGTGCAGAGCAGATGGGGCTGAGTGATGCATGGTGTGTGCAGGAAGGGAGTTAGGGTTAGGGTTCCACTGGACTGCACTGCTTTCATTGCATTCCACAGCATTGCATTTGGGTTAGGGTGAAATTTAGGACTAGGGGTTGCATTGCATTGCTCTGCATTGGGTTAGGGTTGGTGGTTAGGGTTAGCAGCTAGGGTTAGGGCTAAGGTCAGGGTTAGGATTACATTGCATTCCATTGCTTTGCATTGTGGATTTCATTGCATTTCATTGCGTTTGCCCTTCTTTTTGGGGCCACCAACACTTTCTGTTTGCTTTTCCAGACTCCGCTTTTGGATGCTGAATCCTCCCTGGATTATGGACACAGCCTTACCCAGGTGAGGATGCTGCAGAGACACGAGTGTGGCATTCAGAGAAGGGCTGATGGGGGGAGAAACAGAAGGAAGGCTGCGGTGGGGGGGTGGGGAGGGCATGATGGCACAGTGGATCCTTTGGGATCAGCCATTCCTGGGGCTGGGGATGGAGATCCTGAGGTGCTGGGATGGGCTACAGCTGGGCACTGAGCAGGTTCAGCACAAAGAGGTGCGAGGAGCTCTCACTGCCCAACACCCTCCAAGCACCATAGAATCTCATTTCCCCTCCAGGCATCCTCGGAGAAGATCTGGAGAGCTGGAAAGCTCCTCTTCACCTACCTCACCAGCACCAGCCCCAGCCTCATCCGGGACCATAAGCATCACCTGCGGCACCACAGGTGGGACCTCCAGCACCCCTTGGAGACCCTCGGAGGGCTCCCGGATGCTGCAGCCTCACTGTGGGTGTTTTCCTCATGCTTCCCTCTCTTTGCAGGAGGTGCTGCTCTGGAAAGGAGCTGGTGGACTGGATGCTGAATGCAGAGCTGGGCATCCAGACAAGGAGCCAAGCCATCGGCGTGGGGCAGGTGCTGGTGGACGGCGGGGTCCTGACGCACGGTGAGGGGGTCCCTGAGGGCATCCCGGGTCACCTGTGGATCCACACCCCCAGCTCATGTGCTCTTCCCTCCCCGCAGTGAAACAGGAGTGGCATTTCCAGGACAAGGACACCCAGTTCTATCGCTTTGCTGAGTTGGAGTTGAGCCCCGAAGCCCGCATGGGGCTGCGGGATGCGGAGGAGCTGCTGGAGGCGGTGACCTTCCTGGCACAGTTGGGGCCTGATGCACTGCTCACCATGGCCCTGCGCAAACCGTGAGTGCTGGGGGGCTCCTGGGGGGCTTCTAGGTGCTCCTGGGGGCTCCTGGTTACTCCTGGGGGTCCCGGTGGCTCGATTCCGTCCTGCTCCAATCACAGCTGGAGGTGCTGCAGATAGGAAATCCCAAGCATCCTTTCCCCCTCTGGAACTGGAGAGGATGCAGGAGGGAATCCAGGACTTTGAGATGCTCTCAGTGGCCACTTACCACCCCTGTCCCCCTCCCAGGCCTGCCCAGCGCACAGAGGATGAGCTGGAACTCATTTTTGAGGAGCTGCTCCACATTAAAGCCGTGGCTCACCTCTCCAACTCGGTGAGTGCGGGCTGCACCCTGCTGCCTTCATGCCTGCATCCATCCCCTCCAAACCCTCCTACATCCCACTGCCTCCCCTCCACGCATCCTCCTGCTCTCCTGGCCCTTTGCAGCCACCCCTGGGTTGTCACCCTGCGTGTCCCCTCCATGCTGAGGGTGGCTTCCCCTTGCTGCAGGTGAAGCAAGAGCTGGCGTCTGTGCTGATGTTCGAGTCACACCAGCGAGCCGGCACCGTGTGTGAGTGTCCCCACTGAATTCCGTGTGCTGGGGGATGGGATGGCCCCTAAGACAGCATCCCCAGGTTGGGTGGGCATTGCTGTCCGTGTGGATGCTCCTGCTGGCTCTGTGGAGCAGGGATGGATGGGTGGGATGGGGTGGATGAAGGTACTTTGGGGTCTCACCCATCTGGCTGCGGGTTGTTGTCGGGATGGGGGCTGACGAGGGATGCTCTGGCTCTCACTCACACCACCATTTCCCCCGCAGTGTTCAGCCAAGGGGATAAAGGCACCTCGTGGTACATCGTCTGGAAGGGTTCGGTGAACGTGGTCACCCATGGCAAGGTAGGTGCGTCCCCACACCTCCACCCCATCCCTGCTGTCACCTTGGTGCCACGGTGCACCCCGTTTCTCCAACCTGGCCTGGGTCAGGTTCAGGTTTGGGTTAGCCCTGTCCCCTTGCAGGGCTTGGTGGCCACGTTGCATGAAGGGGACGATTTTGGGCAGCTGGCACTTGTGAACGATGCTCCCCGAGCAGCCAGCATCATCCTGAGGGAGGACAACTGCCACTTCCTGAGGGTGGACAAACAGGATTTCAACCGCATCCTCAAGGTGGGCAGCTGGGATCTCCTGTGCTGGGCACCATCCCAGGACCTTCCTGTGGCTGTGGGATGTGGGGTTTGCTCTGGGATGTGCAAAGTGTGGTGGTTGCAGGGGGATGGGGTGCAGTGAACCACCGTGCAGTGCCAACGGAGTGCTGGGGTGGAAGAAGCAATGCACTCTGCAGCCCGTGCTGCTTGCTGGCAGCTGGCTTTGCCCAGGGATCAGCCTGGGGAGGACAGGCTGTGGTCACCAAGCCAGGCTGAAGGCTGCTTTCCCCATTTAGGACGTGGAAGCCAACACCATGCGCCTGAAGGAGCACGGGAAGGTGGTGCTGGTGCTGCAAAAGAACCTGCAGGGAGGCAGCAGCCAGCCGGCCACGACGCGGAGCAGCAGGTGACAGCAACAGCTGCCCGTCCCCGTCCCTCCTGCTGCAAGCACACTGCTGGCCTTTCCCTGAGCCTTCACTTGGGGGAATTTGGGGAGAATCGTGGCAATGGGGATGCCAAAGCCGTCCTTGATGCGCTTCAGGTACCTGGTGATGGCTGGGACACCAGAGAAGATCCTGGAGCACCTGCTGGAGTTCATGAGGCTCGACGCCACGCTTTACGACCCCGTGGGTAGGTGGGGGCTGCCCTTTTCTCTCCATCAAATCCCTCCTTTGGGCTGGGAGAACTGCAGAGCGTCTCCTCCCTCCTCTCCCACATCCCCACACCCCCATCGCAGAGCTGCAGAACAGGGAGAGCCGGGAGCCAGGAGGTGTCCCCAGCGGGTTAAAAATCCCAACTGCAGAACCGGTATCCAGCCTCCTCCCCGCGATTGGATTTCCATTCCAAAAAGCCTTTCCCTTCATTCCAAAAAATAATACATCCGCATTCTTCTCAGCCCTTTCCTTGGCCTTTAGAAGCTAAACGTGACCCAGTGGGAGCTGTGAGGTGGAAAAGCCCATGGCAACCCCACAGAGTTGTCCCCAGCCCGGTGCGGGCGCAGCACAGCAGGGCTGTCTGCTCTCTTCCAGACACACTCCTGGGGGATTTCCTGCTGACCTACACTGTGTTCATGCCGACCTCACAGCTCTGCAGGGCTCTGCTGCATCAATATCCTTCTGCTGCTGATGGGGGGCCCGTGGCATGCAGCCCCTCCTGCAGGGACCACCTTGGTCCCCGTCCCCTTAATGGCACGTTGGGATGGCGGTGGGGACCCCAAATCTCCAAGCGAAGGGCACGTCCCCATTCCCTGTGCTCTTGGGGCGAGGGGTCCTCTCGCTGCCTTTGCCCACATCCTCCATACTGGTGCCCTTAACTGGTCCCAGTTTCCGCGCAGAGCCGCTGGATGGCTCAGAGCAGGAGAAAGCCACCTACTGCCTGCACAAGCGCCGCAAGATCCTGCGCCTGGTGAGCCAGTGGGTGCTGCTCTACGGGCGGCTGCTGCAGGGCGACCGCAGCACCACGGCTCTGCTGCAGGTACTGGGAGCACAGGGCAGCCCCTTGGGGTCCCCGCGTCACCGCTGGGTCACACTGAGTGCCCCCCCTGTCCTCCCATAGAACCTCGCTGACCTGGTGAGCCAGGACCCTCGGCTGGGGGCCATGGTGCAGGAGCAGGAGCGGCGGCGACCCCGAGCGTGAGTGCCACGGGTGTCTCCATCCCATAATGACCCTGTGCCACCTCCGTCCGTTGCATCCTTGTGCCCTCGGGGTGACTTCAGACATCTCCATCCCATAATGACCCGGTGCCACCTCCACCCTTGTGGCCCTGAGGGCGGCATCCTAAGCGCTGCTGCCCTCTTAACGACTCCTTTCCTCCTCTTGGTGCAGGATGGAGAATGGGGACAGCAGCATTTCTCCCCAGCCCAAGGTAGGGGCAGCCCTGGGGGTGTCAGGAACAGGGAGATGGGATCCCCAGAAGCGGGGTATCAAGGGGGTGCCATGCTTCCCACTCTCCCCCCTCTCGCTGCAGTCTCGGAGCTCCATGAGCTGGCTCTCCAGCCAAGACGAGGCGGCTTTGAGCAGCAGCTGTGCCTTAAGAGCCCAGGATAAAGGTACAGGGACTGCGGGCACAGCCATGGCTCCTGATCCCTCTGGATGTGGTCTCAGTGCTGACTCCTCCATCCTGACAGTGCCCTACGAGATCTACAGAGCTGACCATTCGTGCCTGGTGACGGTGCTGCCCGTCAACGCATCGGTGCGGGATGTGCTGCAGTCCCTCGCTCCACAGCTCGGCTGGGATGAAGAGCACCTCCTGGTGAAGGTGAATTCATCCGGAGGTGAGCCGTGGTCCCGGGTCACTCCAGGGTCCCTGAGCTCTGCAGCAGCTCAGCACCCATCCTCCCGTCTCCTGCAGAGAAAGTGGGGCTGCAGCTGGACGCCGTGGGGGTGTTCACCTCGCTGGGGCTCAACGAGAGGCTCTTTGCTGTCAGCGTGGAGGAGCTGAGCAGTTTGGTGAGCTGGGGGGGAAGGGGGTCGGCATGGGATGGGAGGTGCTGGGGGGGAATCCTCGTGTTGTGGTTCTGGAACTGGGTTGGGCGTCGCTTTGCTCCGTGGAGCACAGCTGCTGGCATTGCTTCTGGTCCTTCAGCTCCAAGGGGGTCTGTAAGGAGGTTTGGGGGGGCATCTGTGAGTTGAGATAGAGGCGAAGGGTGGCAGTTCAATGAGCTGAGCAGGAGGGAATAGAGGGAGACCCGTGAGCCAGAATGGAGAGGGTTTGATGAGTGAGAGAAGGGAATCAGGGAGCCACGATGGAGAGGATGAAGGGGATTTCAGTGAGCCGGGCGGTAGGGGGGGCATGAATCCCGCTGGAGGAGGTGATTTCAGTGAGCTGAGCAATAGGGGGAGCCATGAAACACAAGGGAAAGGATGGAGGGGATTTCAATAACTGGGCGGTAGGGGGGACCCATGAACCAAGTGGAAGTGATGGAGGGCCTTGGTGAGCCCAGCTCTGATCCTGGCTCTGGACTGGGGTGTCCCTCACCCCCATTCTGTGTGCAGACCCCCCACCCTGAGCAGTTGGGCCCCCACGTTGGCTCCTCGGACACGTTGGATCTCATCAGCTCCAAAGACCTGGCCAGCCACCTCACAGACCATGACTGGAACCTCTTCAAGAGCATCCATCAGGTAATGGCAGCACCTGGATGCCGGGGAAGGGGGATTCAATCCTCCAGGGTGATTCTGGGGGTCCCCCTGTCACATCTCCGCCCATCCTCTGCCACGCCAGGTGGAGATGATCCACTACATCGTGGGGCCACAGAAGTTCCACGAGGTGACGACAGCCAACCTGGAGCGAATGATGCGGCGTTTCAACGAGCTGCAGTACTGGGTGGCCACCGAGCTGTGCCTCTGCCCTGAGCTGGGCAGGAGAGCCCAACTGCTGCGCAAGTTCATCAAGCTGGCTGCACAGTGAGTGTCCCCAGTGTCCCCTCCACCAACTGGGACAGGTTGGTGTCTATTCCCGCTCACCTCATCCCATGGCCGCAGCCTCAAGGAGCAGAAGAATCTGAATTCCTTCTTCGCGGTGATGTTTGGTGTGAGCAACACAGCCGTGAGCCGCCTTGCCAAGACCTGGGAGGTAACAGCCCATGGGCTCCTGCCACCTCCCCTGGGCTCTGCAGTGACAGATCCGAGTCTCCATGACAAAGATCAGGGGTGGCCAAGCTCCTGGGTTCCCACATGAGCTGCAACCCAAGGCCTGGGGAGGCAGGGAGCGCATTTCCCATGAAGATCAGGATGCAACTATTGGAAGGGACCTTAAAGATCATGGAACCATGGGATGGTTGGGTTGAAAGGGTCCTTAGGGATCATAGAACCATGGGATGGTTGGGTTGGAAGGGTCCTTAAAGATCATGGAACCATGGGATGGT